CTTCGCGTTCTGATTTAACAAACTGCTTTTTTCAAACTAGAGCAAAAAACATAAGTAGAATTATTGCTGTATCATTCTTCTAAACTAAAATTGTGTAAAGCAGTTCTCTTATAACTACTTAACTAGAACTTTTATTTTAGCGACAATTGCTTGACTGTGAAACTTCTCTTTTTTAATTAATTTCTGCAAATGCTGAACCTTGGCTTTTGTTTTTGTTTTTAATTGCTTGAAAATGCTTTATTTATTTAAAGTCCTACTTTTTACTTCTTTAGGAAGAGAGGGTAAGGGTTTTCTTTTCAAATATAGTTGTATTTTTAATTCTTTTCTTTCTTTTGCTTTATTCTCAAATCTCTAATCATTCTTTCTTAACATTTCTAATTTTTGGGCTAATTCTTCTTGCAACTTTACATTCTTTATTATTTTCTTTTTAAGCATTTTATCAGACTTTTGGAGCATTAGTGATTTTTCTTTGATTTCATCATTCAAAAGACCTTTTTGTCAATTTTTTCATTCTTCAGCTGTATCTAATACTTCAGAAAAGTCTTTAGCATTCTTTTCCCATTTTTCAATAACTTCAATAGCAACTTCAACTGGTTTATCTTCATTTTCATTTATTAACTCTTTTAAATCTTCTTTGTGCCAATAATCTCAATCATTTTTTTCTTCTTGTTGCTCTTTCTTAAGATAAGTATTAAGAGTTTTAGCTATATTTTCTTTTAAATTTTCAACCTGTTCTTTAAAAAGAGTTAATTCAGCAACTTTTTTTTCTAAAAGAGCATTCTTTTTTTTTAATTTTTCATTTTTTGATAAATATAACTATAAGTATCACAATTAAGTAATATTCATTCACTAAAGCTTTTAACCATATTTTCAAGAGTGAAATTGTTACCAAAAATAACTTCCTCAACTCCATTTTCTTTTTGAATCTTTACTTAACAATCCTTAGGTCAAAAATGTTGTTCTAAGGTCATTAAAGTTCTAGCAATTTCTGAACTTTCATTTTCCTTAACATTGTTAATAGTATTTCAAATTCTTAGTTTAAAATCATCTTCTTTGTTTTTTAATTGCTTTTTTAGTGTTTCTATTTCATTTAATAATTCTTTATATTCATTTTGTTGTTCATTTATGATGTTTGTCATGATTTTCTTGTTGTTTCTTTTTTTTTATATATTCTTTTAATATACTTATATCCTTTTTATAAGGGTATATTAAGTATATAAATTATTTTAGTACTTTTTTACTTTAAAAGTGGAAAATAGCTAACAATATTTGTCAAAAGATTAAACTTATTAAACTTAATGACAGTAAGGGAACAAATTAACAAGTGTGATAAAGTAATGAAGGTGTTTTTGTTCTCAATATTTTATTTATTGCCAGTATAGAATGGTCTTAAACAAGTAATATCTTTGTATTCATCTTTTGCAAATGAACGAATATTATGATAAGATATTTTGTCTTTTGTGATCCAAAGGAGGTGATGTTAATACTAAAATAAATAAAGTTTTAATTTCTTTAAAAATATCTCCTTTCTTGGTTTTTAATAAATTGAATTCAGTAAAAGGTCTATTAGCAACTTCTTGAACTTTGACCATACCAAGATTAGTTGCTTCAAAAAGAAAATGTTAATATTTCTGTATACTTGGTAACTTCTTAAAATAAATTCCCAAAATAGCTTTAATATCCAAGTATTGAAAACCTCTTTCACTTTTATAACATTAAGCTTTATCCAATCTAGTTGGACTAGACTTTTTTACCACCTCAACCACATGATCTAGACAATCTACTCTTGTTTTTCTGTAGAGTTTTTTAACCAGGCTAAAACTACCATCACATTTGAATTTGGTATGTTCAGGAATCATGAAATTCAATTCAATACTTTCATAATAACCACAAATTACTAAATATAAATAGAACCAAATTGTTACATTATTTTTATTCTGTCCACTAGCATTATTACAAGTAATCTTTAAATGCTTTTCACCTTTGTTCAATTTTTTAATTCCATTAAAAATCATGCTAAGAGTTTCATCAGGTCCTTTCCCTATGATTTCATTTTTATTAAGAACATAATTAATTTGCTTCATCTTAAATACCAAATAAATAAATTTTACATAGATTAAGGTAATAGATTTTACTTACTTGTTGATCTAAATGTAGCACATGAACATTTTAGGTTCAATCATAACTATAATGAGCAGTAACATTAATACTGCAATATTGTGTTTTACCCTTTGAATAATTTTGATTAACTAATTTTCTTTGTTCTTCTGCTAATTTGGTATTTTTATTATAATAATTCCTTTCTAATTTGGTCTTAGACAAATATTCTTTAAATCTTTTAAGTAATTCTTTAGCTTCTTCTTCTTGATGAGAATTATAATGTAAACCATCTCTGAAGTATTGACAAGTATCATACAAGTCAATCTTGAAACTCATAATTTAAATTTCTGGTATCAATTGATGTTATAATTTTCTGAAGGCATCATACTTCAAAGAATTCAAATTACTATCTTCTTCTAAACCAGCTAGAAAATCTTTGTAGACTAATTTATAACTCATTTCAGCTGGTAAGAATACAATTGATTGAGTTATTTTATTGATACTTCTCCTTAGATTTGGTAATCCATGAACTTCTGCATAATTTACCAGAAAATATTTTACTACTTCAACAAGATTTTTATCAATCATTACTTTAGTTTTTCATTAAGGCATTCTTTTAATATTACCATGAATTTTTAGTAAAAGACTACTGTTTATCAGATGATTCCTAATATTTTCAAAATAAGTCCTACCAATTTCCAACATATTGAGGTAAGTTTCTTGACAAAGAGGTGTATTATGATCCCAATGATAGAAAGTTCTTTTATTAGATCTGGATTTCTTTTTAAGGCGTCTACTAGTGCTTATTGATCCACCATCTATTGCCTTAAGTTGAGCCATTAAAAATATGTCTTGTTCTGGTTTAGAAAGAGCTTGAAAGGATTCCCTTAATTCTGCAAATTCCTCTTTAGAAATTTTTGAAGAGCAACCACAATCACAGCCTTTTTCTAAAAAATCAATGACTTTGTAATATTCATTAGAACTATTATAATTGTTACTTTTATTATTACTTTTCATATACATTTATCCTTATATTAATATATATAATCTTATGTTCACTTTATAAGCTTTTTATTAAATAATCTGCCAAAAAATTTTTTTTTAAAAATCATATTCATATATTATTGCTAATTGACAATCCTTTTGTGAACAGCAGCAAATTATTATAAGATTTTGGAAAGAAAATTTGCAGATCTATTATGTTATTTTTTTAGAGTATAAAATTCATCAAGGGAAATGGACATAAAAAAATGTAGTAATCTTGTGATTTAACCACATGATAACATGTTTGATATCCTATTTAGTTCATTTATAAAAAAAAAAATTTTTTTTTCCTTCTTGATAAAGACTTACTTTGGCTTTTCCACAGATTCAAGATTGAAAAACTAATCAAATTTACGTTTTAAAATAAATTTTCTTTATTTTTATTGGATAAAAAATTGAAATTAGAACTCCAAAGTGCACAATGTTTCTTTTGCCATTTTTTTTTCAAGCTGCAGAAGTTCTAGTAATCTAATTAGTAATGTTAAAATTCTTAGAAGTTCCTCTTCTTCAAGTTCTCCTTCTTGTATATGTTTCAATAGTTTCTTATGCATGTTTTCTGTGTTTATTTTAAGGTTTGGATTTATAATTCCTGTGTTAAATTTTTTTTCTTTGATGGTCGCATAATAATAATTAGTCATTTAATTTAGGTCAATTTTACAATGTTTATATATACAATGGGAATTATTATTAGTAATATATATCAATTGTGGTATTTTTAATGATTATATAATAATAATCTATTATTTAACTATAGAAGAACAAAAGTAATATAAATCAACTAGAATATTTTTGATGGTCACATAATAATAATTCATTGTTTAACCATAGATTTGTTTAATATAATGTTGTATAAAATAAGAATTATTATTAATAGTACATAATATTATTACCTATTATCCATTAGTAATACCAACTATGTAGAATATTTTTGATGGTCACACAATAATCATCCATTATTCACTATAGAAAAAACAAATATTAATACAATATTAGTAACCTGTATTAAGAAAATTCTTAATGAATTAATAAACTAACAGTTCTAGTTGTATTATTCAAGATCCTTATATCTGCTCATTAATCCTTCTATTTTTTAAATATTAATAACAATAATAATAATAACAATAACAAATAATTATGATACTCTAAAGACTAAATAATCTAGTGGTTGAGTAATAATAGCATTATTTTCAAGATGTAGTAGTAGGTGTTGTTGACTTATTATATTTGAACTTGTACATTTTCAAAGATACCTACTTTTTCAAAGATTATTTTTCTTTATTGATCCAAAAAGAAAGCCACAAATAGGAAATGCTTTTCAATATCAGAAGACTGTCACCAATAATGAAAAAATAGTCCATAATGTAATTTACTTACTAAAGAGCATTTATTTTAAAGAGCAACATGAATATAATAACAATTTGACATTAGGAAATGAGTTTTGATAGTGATTCTTCTGAGATTTAAAATTTATTCAAAAATTTATATATTTATCTTATTCCCAAATTTTATATTGAAAATTGAAAATTTGCTGCTGATCATAAAAGGAACATTAATTAAAACAGTTATATAATGCTTTATTTGAATACTAGATTTTTATTAATAATCTCAGAAAAAATATAACAAAGTGTGACAATTATATGATAATAATAAAAATATTTTTTTTAGACTATAGAATTAAAAAAGAATTGCATTTTTGTAATAATAGTAAATTGCTTTACTAAAAGGAATTTCTTCTAAAATAATAATAATCTATCTATTTCATCATTTATTTCATATTATTAATTTTTAAGACTTATAATTAGATGCCAAATCAACATTGAGAACATATTGTTTTACTTTATCCTTAATTCAGGATGTTAGTCTTTTTGAATTTTCCCTTTTTCTGGTATAAAATGGTTGTTTTTCATTTTATCAAAATATCCTGGTGGCATAACAAAATAAAATTTGATTTCTCTTTCAATATCAAGTATATTTATAAGGTCATTTAATCCCTTGACCTTTATACCATAATCCTGATTAATAGTCATCTGAAATAACATATTTGGTAAAATCAATGAATCTACTGAAGTGAAATTTTTTTGTTGTGGTTGATAATATTCATTATATATATTAATCTCATTTATTGATTGGAAGATTTTATTTTCAAGTCTAGAGAATTTCTCCATTTTTATTTCATCATTTTCATATTCTAGACAACGTGTTTCAAACACTCCACCAGTTCGCAAAATTCTATGTGCAACTGCCTCAAATATGTTTTTTTGCAAAGTTTTATACACCATCTGATCTTTACTTGCTAATAAAAAACTATACAACTGGTCTCTTTTTTCCTCCTTATAACGATTAATAATCTTTTCACTTATATATGTTGATGCAAAGAGTACCAATTTCTGAGTATATAGTGAAAATGATGAAACATCAAGTTCTTTACACACATCTATAGTATTATTATCCATATAATTTAGTTCTTCATCAGGAACATTAGTGTAAATATGCACAACCTTATTGTTAAAATCAAAGTTTAGAATCAACCACATCTCTAATTATTTTTACTATCATATCAAGATCACAAATTCTGATTGCACTTTCCATTTCTTGATTTATCAAATTTATTGGCACTGTGCTTGCTTTTTGCAAAACAACTCGTGGAATGCCTTACCACATTCCAAACAATTTTTTTGCTTTTTTATAATCAACTTTGGGATATAAAACTTTGGAAATAACCTTTAGACTTCCTGCTGAATCATCATAAATATTTTTAGAGATACATGCAGATATTTCATCCCAAGTCCATACTGGCATAAAATGTTTATTTATTCCAGCCTACTTCTGAAAGTTTTGATAGTTCTCTTTTTGTGATGAAGTTACAAGAATAGTTTTGGCCTCATATTTCATTGGATGATGTTCATCAACAAGTTACCAAACATCTGATTTATTTAATTCATTATCAAATAAAACTAAATTTCCCTGAAATATATTTTCTTGATGAAAGAAAACTGGTTTCTGATTGACTCAATCATACATTAAACTTTCCCCCTTTTTTATTAGTTGGATAAGCAGATAATAAATAAAGAATGTTTTTCCAATACCTGGAGTTCCTGAAATGCAAAAATTTTCTAATTTATCACTATCAAAAATTATCTTAAAAAGATCAGAATAACATTGATGAACAAAAATACTTAATCCTTGATTTGCTTCACCCAACAAGTAAACACCTCCTGTTAGAGAAATTATTTTTTTGTTAATTTCAATATTCTGAACATTCTTTCAGAATTTAAAAAGTGGAGTATCTTCATCCAAACACATTCTTTTAAAAGAATATTCATCAGGAGAAATAAAATGCTTGGGTTCTTTATGAAAATTTTAATGCATTATTAATCAAATGAATTCCATGATAATAGAAAATAAATAAATGAAATGGAATGAACGAAAAATAATATTATTTTATGCAATTTGTTCGTTACTTTTTTCATTATTACATTCCTTTCTCCATAACTCATTCCATTTCCTTACTTCCTCCCCCCATTCTTTCTTCTCCTTCTCTAATCCTTCTTCTTTTCCTTCTAAATTTTGTAGCTCACCAACATAATATTCTTTTTCTACACCTCTTCTTAACTTCTCTAGTCTCTTCAACTTTTCTTCAACATCAACCAATCTTTTCTCTGCCTTGTCCAATTCTTTTTTAATTTCTTCTGCAATTGTCATTTTTAAAACATAAAAATTGAAAAAAACTTTTTTTTATTGATTTAGATTGGTAATTAGAGATGAGAACAATCTGATCTAGATCGAAAGACCATTGGTCCAGTCATAGAACTGGTCTTATACTAATCTTTTTTGAGACAGATCGACAGGATTGATCATAGGATCAGGGTCTTTTTAACGGTCTTATAAAAGATGGTCTTATTGTCTTATTGATCGATCGCCCTTAACCTTTTATTGATAGACGTATTTTTACGTGTTATATTTATGCATTTTTTAAACTATATAAATGATAAACTACGCCAAGTGTAACAAATTTTGAATTTACAATCATACGCTGAGTACAATCAAAAAATGTCATCTGATAATATTAGCGAAGCTGATTCTTTTCTTTCCTTAGCTTCCACCCATTCTCAATCTTCAAACAATAAAATTAAAGCGGCTTCTGATGTTTAGGACTATTTTCAGAAAATAGTTGATGAAAATAATATTCTAAAATCAAATAAATGCAAATTATGTCATGCAACTTTTGCTGCTTTTTGTGCTACTTCTACTTTACGTCGTCATTTATAAAAAAATATACTAAACTTATACTTCCAACACTTCTAACAAACAAACAAAACTCACTTCATATCGATTCAGACCTTATACCAAATATGAACAAGCACACATTACAACCAATTTAATTGACTGGATTGCTGTTAATTTACAGCCTTTTAAAGTTGTTGAGCGAGTTCAAAAAATTAGTACATTCATTGGATTCTCATTATGTTATACCATGCAGAAAGACAATAAAGGATGATGTTATCAACAGATTTACTGATTGTAAAAAAGACATTTTTA